ATAACAACCTCAAATTAACCAATCGCAGCTTAGAGTACTTTCTGCATGTACTTTGTATAAATACCGCTCAAATAAACTGCGTCACTCTTTTCCTAGCTGCCACCTTGCTAATATTTCCTCGCCTTGCTTCCCCGTTTGAACTACCTGAGTCTAATTTTAAGAATCAATGTGCATAGAAATTTATCGTATTTCATTATGATTGAATAACAGATATGTCTCGGATTTCATCATGATTGGATAAAGATCTATGGACATGATTTTATATGCGTCGAAATAAAGATTGGAAATTCTTCAATTTCATGTTTTATTATCTTCATCGGTAAGCCTTAACCACAGCCATGACGGACATCGAAAACTGTTGAGAGTTCCAGCCATCGTGACTGTGCTTCACAATTATGACATATATATGTGATGTACCAGCTTTAGTCGTAGCTTAAATTATTAGACGATAAGTTTAAAAAAAAACAGGATCAATTAATTATTATTCAGGAGAAATAGCAGTTACAAGATCAGATACCCGGAGTAAATAAAAAAGAACTACTAATAATATTTTGTATGAAGTTTACTGCATGGTTACATTTAAGAAAAAGCCCCGATATTCTTTTGAGTGTCCTTTTATAGCCTCTGGAAAGGCGGAGCTTCCAAAAAATGACGTCAACTAATCCAGTTCGCTTTAAATATTTCCAGAACATTCTATAACTGTAACTTCAAAAAGAGACCATCGCCATTAAAAATGAAAAGAACATACAGTTAGAATTTTAAGTGTATTCTTGACTATGGAATTTTATTATTACACACAAACATATATATATATATATATATATGTACCTAGCTTAAAAGTCCTTAACCAGCTTTTATATTCGCAATCGTGGGTTGTAGTAATATACTTGAAATTGCAGAAGTGTCTTAAATGACGAAAACATTCCCATTTTGACAATGCCAAATCTTAAAAATATTAATTTTCGATAATTAACGAAATTTAACTTTTAATGCGATCTTCCCTTTCCTATACATAAATGGCGAAGTTTTATACTCGTTTTAAAAAATAAAATTATAAGAAATTTGACTCCCGTACGACAAAAATTGGCTCCCATATTTTATTTCAAAATCTGCAGTTTTTGGTTTTATTTTCAACTTGTCTTCAAAGATCTGTTAATTAAGTTAGAATAATTCGAGGAAATAAGTTTAAATGAAGTGCGGTAAAAATGTGTATAATTTAATAGGGTGTACAAAGTCATGTGGAGTCCACATCAGATTTTTTTTAGCTAACCAAACAGTAAATTCCATCAGTCATTTGCGTGTTGTTCGTTTGTCGGAAATTTACATGAATTAAGTGTAGAAACTGTTCAATGCTCTAATTTCAAAATAATGCACTCTTTAACAAGACTGATCTTGCTAGAATGATTATACCTACCGATAAGAGTATTGTTATTATTAGCAAACGCTGTTACGAATATTAGTCAGCTCATACACTGAGCATTGCAGTTTACATTATAAAACTTAAATAGAGAAAGAGAGAAGAAAATAATTTAATACAAAAATATTGAGCTCGCGCCCCACCTTTAGTGAAATTATCATCCAGTACACGTGGATTCTATTCCTAAGGGAAATAAGTTCAGTTCTGTTCTAAAATGTTTCTATAGGCACATTCGTGAGCTATTTACATAACATTTCTCTTTTATAATGCTGTTTCCGCCTAATAGGAAATAAATTCTTTGCGTGTATTGTGCTTCGGTATTCTTGTACATTATCTGAACTTTCTGTACGTCAAGCTACTGATTGATGGACAAAGTAAGATCTGACATCAATAATATCTAGGGCAGATGAAAACTGTTAAATAAGTATGCATCTCTCATTGTTTTAAACTGCCATCCTCGAGTGGCAAACTGATAAAATTATAGCAATTTTGTAGTAGAATTTTGATATGTGTATCTTTTATTTTTCATTAATGCAAATGGAAATAGGTAGAAGAAAGTATTCAAATGATTTTATTAAAAAGGTTTCAAAATCAAATTTAAAAAAAAAAATCATTTTATGATATAAGAAATTACTCTGGTTCACAAATCGCAGGTCTTTTTTAATTAGGATAAAAAAAAAATATCGTGCTGAAATATAAGACTATATCCTTTCGTTATAATGTCGTTCTGAAAGAAACACATACGCTCAGCCTAACATTAAAAGAAAGGTTTAAGATAGTTTGTCACTTTTTGCTATTTTTTGCTCGATAAGCAAGTACATTTATTTAGTTTTATCATAGAAATGTAAACCAACTTGTTGAAAGTGACTGAAAATAAACTGTGTATCTTCCTACCCTGCGATGCGATTCGACTTATCAACTGCACTCTCAAACGCGTCAAAGAGTCTACATTACATAGTGAGCTACTCTGCCGATATATTATTATTATTATGAAGCTTGCTTAGTGCTTGCTTTTTGTTAAAATGTATTTAGTTTACACATAGAAGGATATTTCTTCCTCATGGATTGCCATAAAAAATACCTACCTGATCTGCACATTGGTGAGAAACGCTGGTTGAAGCATTGTGAAACCCAGTTTCAAATCCCAGAGAAAGCATAGATGTTTATAAGAGCATAGTATTTGTGCGGCATGGGGACACTGAAAATACTGGTGAGTCCTCAGCAGTCAAATGGTAGGGAAAGAGCGAAAAGACCTTCAGATCAGTCCTTCGGATGTGCTATATCGAAGCTGGGACGGAACTGTTTGGGATTATACCTGTGAGACGATTTGGCGACATCGCCCACCACTTCTTGTCCAGCTATAAGACTCGGGCAGAAACTTCAACATACATTAGAGAGCGAAAAGAAATGTGGTTGCGCACTGCTCACATAAAAAAGAAAATTATCGCAAACTGAGACATATGCCAAACTGAACCATAACAAATATCAACTATTAAAATACAAATTAGAAATTATCTAACTAAATCTTCAATGACACGTTAGTTGGCAATTCCGTTTAGAGGATGAAATAAGACGTAAAAGCAGATGTTGCGATAAGTTTATTTAGCTAAGAAAATCAAATCATGAACATAAATAAAAGATCTGCTAAAACTATAGAATGAATTCAAGAAAGCTACGAAGACACAAATATTTCGAATAAACTTTATCATCTAAGAAAGCTTCCTATGTTAAAATTAAAAAAGGAACATCTAAGGTTTATGCTAAGTTTTTAACAGTTAATTTTTAATAAAAAGAATTTTTAATTTTTTGTTAAAGCCACTTTCCTATCCTTCTTAATTTCAGCTTACAATTTCCTGCCAGAACGTGTTTTCAGAATCGCCGTTGAATGCAAATGAAAGAAGAGCAAGTATTTAAAGTTGAAGTTCTACTGACTTCGTTAGAGAGCCAGAGATTATGACCAGCGCGCGTTCGCCTTTTAGACTACACTCTCTCTAAGCTATTTCCACGCTTGGCCGTATTTCAGGCCCTTGATAGCTTTGCCGTTTAGTTAGCGTTAAAGGGCCAACTCCTGTAGAATTGTGATAGCTTCGGCTATACCTCTTTAGTTAAGTTTAGTTAAGTTTTATTTCTTATAGCATTCTTAAGTTCAAGCCCAAGTGGAGGCTTTCTGTATGTCCTAAGAGAAGACCGTCTGTTAAATTTATTTTGAGCAACAAAGGGTAATTAACCCATTCCTAGTATCTGTTCTCTGTCTTCTGAAAGCGATTATTCGCTTACCAATTCTCAAGGTTCCACACATTTAGCTGTAAATTATTAGTTGAAACATTACAAACATAAGCTTGAATAGCATGTAAACAAAACCTCAAGATCGTATTCGAATAATAAAACAATATATGAAGATGTAAAGCAGAGTCATATGGCAGTAATTATTACAAATTTTACCAAGAAGCTATAAAAATCTTAGAACAGCCTGTGAAAATGTGTTCTTTTTTATATTAAGTCATACTGAAGTGAGCTACAATTTTTGGCGACGATATTAGATCATTATATAGACTTTACGTCAGTATTACTTTTATGCATGATGTATGATTGCCTTTTATCTATGATCACCTTATTTAAGATAAGAAATTAAAATTATATCTAAGTCTAAAGGTGATTAAAAAAAACAGAAAATTTCTTTTCTCGTTAATTCTATGCTCTATACAATTACTATATGAAAGAGTTGAATTAATTAAACTCATGCGAGTAACAAATGTAGGAAATTTGACAAGAATAACATAACTCTGTGCATATACATGTGTGTGCGTGCGTGTACTTCATTTATGACACTTCTTCATAATGAATTTATACACGTTCTATAGGAGAAATCCCATTATTCATTAGTAAAATAAAAGTATGTTACTATAAAAGTAAAATTATAGTATGTTTTAGAAAAAAAAAATTTAAAGGATCATAAGTGATAAATATGGATTAGGAAGGAAAACTTTACGTTTGGCTTGATAGAACCATGTGAACTTCTAATTCTCTCTTAAAGGTAAAGCTATCAGCTCATATTTATTACGTGAATGCGTAATACGCTATCCATATTGAAAGGTGCCTCCCAAGAAAATACTTTCAAAAGAATTTCCATTGCTCATAGAAAACTTGCGTCAGTTCTCATGAAGCCAGTCCAACGTAAATTAAATTGCTCATGTTCATCGAGTGGACTTTAAAAGATTCTCTTCAAAGAACTAACAGTACAAGAAAAAAATCTTTTAAAATTAAAGATCGCTAATGTTTTATGCCTAAATTTTGAAAAAGTTTTGGCAAGATTTATATTATTATATATAAATTACTATCAAACAATGCTTCAGAAGTTATAATTTTTTAAAGCTTGCGATGAACGTATAACTAAGCCATCTAAACCTGCATTGCAAAAATAACTAACTCGTACGTAACACGAAAAATAAGGTTATAGAATGCATAAAAAATGCGCGACAAATAATTAAGCAGTCCTCCCACTACTCAAGCAATATGTCATCGATGTGATGTAACGTTATGCTTGACGAGAACTCCTAAACAAAAACATTGTATTCAAACGTGGATGGGTTTGTATACAATCCTAGTAACCAAGGCAACTCGGCAATCGAAAAAATCCTTAGCTGGTGTAAGCTTTCACTTCGCCACACGAGACCAAAGAGAAAGAAGTGACAAAAAAGATACGGCGTTAGCTAACTGGAATAAGAGCAAAGAGTCTGTTCGAGTGATAGGGTGTCAGTTAATAAATAACCAGTCAATAGACAAAATTCCGCCTGATAGAACGGCTGCATCAACGATTTTCGGTGGTGAGGCTCCAAAGGCCTCAACCACGCCTGTAATGGATATAGTAAACAGAGATCCCAACAGCCTTAATGAGTATTTACAGGTTGGTGTTGCTTTTAATGCTTATTTTAATTCGTATATTTATTTTTTTGACAATTGTTTTTTCAATTGACATTATTCTACTTTCAGATCTCACGATTGTAAGACAAATGACACATATATCAGTTAAAATAAAAACTACAAATCCTCTTAATTGATGTATTAATTTCTTTGGTAAAAATCAGAATGAAATATTGTTCAATAAACACGGCAAGGAATAATTCCTTTTAGTTTTGTGACATTTTTTTTTATAAAATGAGGTAGTTTTTTTTTATTTCTTCAAACTTCTCGAAATAAAAAAACAAAATATGATCCTTGTTTGTCATGATTTTTTTTAAATGGTGATATATGTGATATTCACATAGATATTCACATCTATGTGATATTCACATAGATTTTTAAAGTTTCAAGTAAATTTTAGAGCAAAGTGTTAAAGCTTTAACTTCGCATCATAAATTATTAATGAATGAATGTATGTTTTCTTACTCAGATTATGTATCAAAATTACCTGAAAACAAAAGCCAATATTTTCAACAAGACCAATTCTTTGTTCTATACATAGGCTTTGGCTTATATTGATCATAAAACTCTGGCTTATATTGATTTATAAAAAGAGAATATTTTTAAGATATAAGATGTATATTTACTTAAATAGAGTACTTAAGAATATATCGTCACAAAATATGTCTTGAATAGTTAATTGTAGACACATGGTTCCAGCTTGAAGAGTTAATAATCAAGTAAGTGCTGAAATTATATAATATAAATATAAACCTACTTTTACCGCATCAGAAAATGTGCATTTTAAAGGTTGTAAACCATAATTTAATGTATTATGAATTTCATCACTTTTACGAACTGGAATTTTAAACACATGTATCTAAATTAACGTTTATCTTTCACAAAGTTTACCTTTCAGAAATATGGATTCGGGAACTAACGTAGTTTTAATTCAAGAATATCTTGAGTAATTTTCATAATACGAAGGATGGAATTTTGATAATAGGATCTTCAGTAAATTTGATGATTTTGTACTATTTCGGTTATGCGAATATTTATTTATTTATTTATTTATTGTTATTGGCATTGCTTTTATAAGAGCTCCATATAAAAATTTTCGTTTCGCATACTTTTACTACAAGGTACCAATGACCAAATCTGTTGCAATCTGTTGCAATTTATTTAATTCCTTTCTTGATCTATAACCAGGGATTTTTGACAGGTCGTTTCAAGCGATATTAAGTAGTGTAAGCTTTATTAAATACTTCGGGTAAAATTTAAGATAATAGTTTTACAAATTACTGATGAATATAGCTCATTTTCTCTCTGAGTTTTAAAATAATAAACACGTGATAGTTTTACTTTTCAGTTACTAGAATAATTCTTTTCCTACTATTTGCTACTGAAATGAGATATTCTGAAGCCTAAAAATTTACGTAGAAAATTTTTATTAATACTTAAAATATTTTATAGCAAGTTACCAGTCTTATTAATATGCAACTAAAAAGTTTTTTGCAGCAACAGATCTGAATTCCCTTTTTACTCATGTGCAGTTTAGTCATGTTCATAAATTTCCTTTTGTTACCGTTAAGTTGCAGCTGTTGTTCATATTTTCAGATATAAAAAATTTTTAAATGAAGCAAATTTCATGTTTGGGCATTTATAAATAAAAAGATAATTTTGTAAATGTCATAAAAGCTAAATTTTTATGCTGTTCCACTGTCCCTACAACTGTCTTTAAGTTTATATTTATCATAAAAATTAAAATTAAAATGTTAGATTTCTGAATAATAAAAGTTAACGGAAATATTTACTCTCAAAGTCTGAGAATTTTACCATCTTTTTCGGCTTTTCTTGAAAGTTCAGTTAAAAGATAAATTTGAATATTTCCAGGTTGACTTTTCTCTTCAATGTCGTTCAGTGATATTTTTTTGTAATTTACTATTGTTTAATATTCTTTAATCCATAATTTTGTTATATCTGGTATACCCAATACATTTTAAGATGAGTAGTTTGTAAATTTTGGAATGTTAAAAATGCTTTAATAATTTCATTTGCAAGGTTATTACTTTGGGATCATAATCTAATAGTCATAGAAAAGAATCATTAAACTAAAAATATCTTCCCTTTCAATTATTATACAAATAATGTTACAAATTCGATATGCATTAATACTGTTTCCCAGAACTCCTGTTTTCTAGAACATGAATTTAATGATACTACGAATGAAATCTCCCTTTAGGAAAAATTTTCATAGATCAAAACGTTTCATAATGGTGCTCATTTCTTAATCTGTAAAATTAGAAATATCTTTCGAACTGACATTTCTTTTTTAGTTTTTTATATATAAATTTAAATATTTCACTTATCAATTTGTATACAATCTCTGAATATGAGTTCAAAATTTGTAATTAAATATCTTGGCTAAGTCATGTTATACTGGAGTCAAATGGCCTGTGTTTTATTTTTAGCATCAATATAAACTTTTGTTTAAGCAAATAAAAGGTCATTAAAATTTTTTACAATTCCAATAAAGAATAAAATAAAGTGTAAAATATTAAACACTTTTTTTTAGTCTTTAAATAAATTATCGAGATATGATTTGCTCCGACGTGATCCTAAACAAAAAATACTGTATAAAATAAGTATAAAACATACAAACAATTGTTCAATTTTGAAATAAGAAGCTAAATTAATTCTTTTCATAATTTGTCAAAAAATTGTTATAAATTAAAAGTAATTGAATTTTTAACATCAAGATTTAAGGAAACGAAATTTAAAAAATTTTGAGAATCATAGGCTATTAGCCTAGAGTGTCAAATAAGGCTATCGTGCAATACCTTGCTTCTGTCCAAACCGTAACTGATTCGTTCCTTGCGAAAATCATTAGCTAGAAGGAGCTGCATACATTCCCCTTTAATATGAGAATAGGAGAGAGTATCAGAAACTAGCCATGCCAAAATAATCGGACCCGAAAATTGCACCTAGTGGATCAAGACGGTGATAAAGCTTATTCGGTTTGATTCGAACAACCCTAAGTCGGTAAACGTAATAAAATACAAAAATGCTTCTCAATGGAGTATAATTTAGTAACGGTCTCGCCCAGACGGGAAAGTGGTTAGTGAGACTGGCTGCCGTACCGAAAGGCTCCAGTCCGAATCCTGGAGAAGGCATACATGTAAATTGTCTTTCCGTTCAATAAAAATAGAAAGCAAGGGTGGCTCAATTATTTGGTGCGTCCATAATAAAATGACCACTGCTTAGTAGTGACCAATGCCTATAATGGCTAATGCCGCAACTGGATAAAACAAAAATGCTGATAGCTCTTGTTAATATATTGCTCTTTAGAAGACATTTGTAAAAAGCTTGAATAGTTGTTAATGCTCCCTCAAAAATTCTAATAAGGATAAGGTTCAGATAAAGAGACAGATCCTTCACTTCGGGCTTAAAAAATGCGTCTAAATATCAAGCATAAATTTTTCGCAGGTAAAGTTTTCTATTTATTATTAGAATTCTAGAATCCGATATCATTATATAAAACATTGGTAAAGAGTTATTCCTTTTTTCCGATATGGACATTTATGAAGCAACGTTAACTCTGCCTTTCCGTTTGCTTGAACAAGAAAATTATTTATTATAAAAATAATGAGAAGTTATCTGAAAACTAGTACACTTAAAATGCTTTTTGCTTAATATAAGTAAGTATCATACACAAAAATATTATTATGCTTATATCTAATTGTTTAACGAAATCGCCTGTGCCTTTGCTTACGAAAAGAAAAACTTTCAGTGTCACTCACTGTTGGATGCTGCATATTATTAATGAATTCTATGTCCATCAATCATTTAGCTAGTCTTTTTCAGTAATCACTTTATCAATACGTTAGCCGTCACTGATTACGATATTGACTCATCAATCACTGAATCAATTTCGCTCGTTATTATTCAGCATGCGGATATAATTACAAATCCCTACTCACCTTAAGAATAATAGTAACCTCAATATTCAGTAAGGTAAATATACAAGAATTTTTAAAGTATTATACTTTCTTCCCGTATGATGGTTATATCTTCGAAACGCATGGAAGTTTGTAGGGATTTATATTTATTTTAACTAATTTAAAGTTTTATTTAAAACTTTCCTATAAGCCTTCATTCCTCTAATTGCCAGTGCCAGAATAGTTAAATGTTGTAGCGCGCGTGAACGAATGCAAATTTTCTATTTTGAAGGAAATAGTTAAAAGCCGAATTTCGGTAGGAGAAAGAGAGAGTTAGACTCTAGCTGCCGTCTCTGCCGTAGGTACGTTTGGTTCAAGTGGCTTAATTGCATTGCTTTGCTGCCACTAGTTTAGAAGGGTATTGAAATTATGGGATCTCGCTGAGCCCTGTAGGCTAGTTTTATCACGTGTTAATATTTCAACTTTTAGTTTCAATTATCTGATTTTCAGTTACCGCCCAAATAAAGGCGAAGTTAGTTAGGGTCGAGTTGACGCATTGTAAATTTTATAGAGTTAATAAAGAGTTTGAACCCTTCTCCTGTGTAGTTTCCTGCTACTCCAGTATACAGATAGAAGTTAACCCACCTAGACTCTACAAGTTATCATTTTTTTTCTTATGATGTATTTTATTCCTGATCTTTATTTTTAATTAAATCATTTGAACTTAATGAAAACTTCTAGGAAAATATCTTTTTTTTTGGGGGGGGTAATATTAATGTGTAATTTCTAAATATTTAATTCATCAAACGTATTGTAAGGTATATTTTAATTTTATAACGGTGATTTTAATTTCAAAGTGCTTTCCTATCAATTCTTGTTTCTACTTACAACTCCCTACCAGAACTTACTTCGTGAGAGAGAGCTAGGAATCCTGAGTAGCGCGTGTTTGCCTTCGGGCTAAATCTCTCTTGAAGCTGTTACCCTCAGCCGTATATTACGTGCCTTTTGATATTAGCCGGCTAGTTTAAATTAAGAGCCAAATAAGTTAGATACTTGCGTTAATCTC